TATGTTATACGTACGTACGTACGTAAATTATTTTTTCTTCTGTAATAAATTTTTTATCAAATATGGTATTTATTATAATGAAATCCTGAAATTAATATCACAGAACTAAGAAAAATTCTTTGTATACGAAAATAAGTATCAAAAATTATTGCTGCTAAAATCCACATAAGCACTTTAATTATAAATTCTAGCCCAAATCCTAACCCAACCCTAAAAAACATCTCCAAATTTCAGCATCAATTTCAGCATCAGCCGCAGCAATTATTTAAATAATGATTTTAACGATAAACTAATGACAACATAAGAATTATATTAAAGCAGTTTTAATGAGCTTTAAATTTTTTTTTAGTTTTGTGAATATGAGAATTTATTGAACTTTATTTTTTTTTATAAAAAACGTGAAATAATATTGGGAAAGGTTTTTTACCAAATTAAAAATCGATCCATGCTATTTTTTAACCAGTAAAATTGAAGAATGACAAGTGTTGACAAAGTCCAAACAGTCTAGACATAGCCATGTCGAAAAGCATAAATACGATTGTCATATGATTGGGTTAGCCAAAGGTGCCGGAAATAAATTCAATTAAAGGACTTGAAGTCTGCAGAATACATAGTGAGTAATTTTAGCTAAGTAATTCGAGAATCTGTGCCAGATATCATCGTGACAATAAAATGAGTAGCATCAGTCAATAGTTTCCCGCCTGCTCGAACAGACCGACTGTTAAATAGGAAAATGACAGAATCAGAAGACTATCATGTGGGATGGGAAGAGAAATTTGTTTGTCTAAGGCTATTGTGTTAAAAGGAGAAGGAGAAAGAGACTTTTATCAGCTCTTATATATATATATATATATTGATTATGATCGGCGACTTTTCTATTTAAAAGTAACTTGTAAATTTAATAGGAATGAAAGGAAATCAGGAGCAAATGGTTTAGACATTAAAAACCTGAATAAAAAACCGACGTATATTACGAACATTACCGCTACTATAAAAAAAGCCCTTACAATTCCAAGAAAGATGAATCATAGGAAAAAAAAATATGAATACAATATACTTGCCAACGAATTGACAACAACAAAGCAGGATGCGTCTTCAAATGATGAATTAATTAAAATTATTGCATCATCGATAAACTTTATAATAATATTTGCATCATCGATAAACTTTATAATAATATTGCATAACGATCCAAAGTCGTCTAGAAATAAAAACTCTCCAAAGGTCACTTTAAATGATCTATTCCTATTATATCGAATGTTCGAACAAATTCTTATCTTTGACTGCTAGAAAATTCAGATGGCATTGATTCATATCGTAATGGAATAGTAACATAAATTTGGGTGAGAATTTAAGAACATATTATATGTTATATCATGGGTAGTTAGATATAACTGATTGTCCCCTGCCATCCACGTAACATAACTTTCATGTACTTATTTCAGAGCGAAACCTTTATTTTACGAATTGTTTCTGAATTAAATATTAAGTGGAATAATACAATACTTATACACAATCACTTAAATTAAATAGATATATGTGTCTAGTAGATGAAAAAGTTACGTAGATGGGTGGATCAGAAATATAAAAAAATCAGAATATCAAATATTTTTTAATCAAAATGTTCATTATTATTATAGTTGTTGGATATGAAGCAACAAATAATGTAAATTACACTCTTCATTCCTGACTTAAACTGAAATTCACTCTTCTATATTGCTAAACTGTTTTAACATGGCTACTAATGTGTCTCATAAGCACTATGTATAAACGAAAATATATATACTGTTGTTAATTTAATAAAAAGGTTCTTAATATATTAATCTCATTGTTCGTCCGTCAACATTAACCGATTAGAATTGTGAATGTGTGTCACATGTCGAAGTGGCAGCAATTACGTATTTAGCTTCTTTTTTTAATGCATGTTGAGAAGAGTCAACAGATCGAAAAGAAAGGATAGAAGTGGAAATCAATAAGCAGAGATACGTCTGCTTGATATTTTAAATTCGTTGCAAGATATTTCGCTTGAACATCTTTATCCATTATTTTCAATAATATTAGTGTCTTTCAGGTCATTTCCAGCTAAAGTCTCCAGGTGAATACTCGCTTTTCCTAGCTAAATAATATTTGTAAGTAGTGCCGTTAATGCAACTTTTTAGAATTATTGCCCTTCTAAAGTTAGATTTCCTAATACTTTTTGAATTGTTCTTGTGCTCGAACGCGGTTAACAAATGTATCCAGTTCTGAAGAAAGTCCGCAAATAATATTTGTAAGTAGTGCCGCTAATGCAACGTTTTAGAAATCCTTACTCTTCTAAAGTTAGATTTCCTAATAATTTTTGAGTTGTTCTGGTGCTCGAACGCGGTTAACAAATGTATCCCGTTCTGAAGAAAGCCCGTTTTAGTTTCACTAGCATTAGATAAATTGTCTTCTAAATTTCAGATTCTTTTTGATTCTTATGATTTCCTGTAAACCATTTTACCCTGGCTAATTTCTTCTGGCCTATCCAATACTCTAAATATGATTGCCGATGAAACGATTTCTTTTGAAAAATTGAGTCACAATGTTCTCTTCACGCTTTCCTTAGCACTAATGATTAATTTTTTTTCATTGAAATAACGATGAATTATTGCTGCGAATTAGAACATACACTTCTTTCATATTTACGCTTTCATCATTGCTAAGGCTTAATATCTTTACGTTATTATTATTATTATTCTATGCGTTAAGTAGAATTTGGAACCGGTTTTATTTTTCATATGTTAAAACCGATTAGAACCGATTTTAACATATAAAAAATAAAACCGGCTCCAAAATCCAAGTCTTAAGATTTTTATCTGCATTTAGCATTAAGGATTATCACATGTACTTTTTGTCAGGTCATGCATGAATTTCGGTAGGAAAGTTCCTTTTCTCAAAAAATATTATTAAAAAATCGTGCCTGCGTACCATGTTTACGATCGTCATCAATTCTCTCTGCTAATAAGTTCCCTTGATTTTCCTAAACTTTCTAATTATGGACATCAATAACCCTTCAAAATTTTCCGACAAATTGAATCCTGAAAATTCTTTTTCGGTCATTACTTCCGAGATTCCTGTCATTTCCGTAGGCCCCTATGGAACTTTTCATGACTACGGTTCCTTTGCAAAATGTTTTTGTAATCAATGTAACGAGTGTCGTGTTCCGCTTTACACTTGTAAGGGCGTAAATTGTAATATTAAATGCCCACCTCATACTAGAAAATGTTCTGAATGTGGCAATCATAATTATTTAGCTAGACGTATAATTAATCGAAAGTATTATACTAGTCGGAAATCCCGTTTAAATTCTGAGAATTCTATTTCTTCAATAAATAAATCATCTGATTCCATCAATGACATGGGTTTGTTAGAAATGTGGAACAATGCTTGTTCGGAAGCTCTTAAACATCAGTAATTTTATATTATATATCTCGTGAATTATTCGTGCAAAGTATCTGTTAATTTTCTCGGAGGGGGCTCTTGTTCGAAGTTTATAATGTTTGTGTAACAATAGTTAGCCTTTTAGAGATAGATCTTAGCATTAGTAGTGTTACAGTGTTACGTTTATGAGATGAAGAAAAAAATTTGTGGGACATGAACTTTTTTTTTTATATTAAATTCGATTATATCACATTATATTATATTTAAAGCATGCATGTGATTACAGGCTCACATGAATTGTAATCATTTTACGTATTGTGTGATTACGTAAAATATGGATACAGATTAGAGAACATCCAAGCAAAATTTGTTTATTCTATATTATTGCTATTATGTTATAGCTGTTATTGACTTATTTGTAAATTTAAAATTATGTACGTCGTGATAACCCTTTTTTCTTCTATAATTTTTTTTAGCAAATATGGTTTACTATATAAATGAATTTTTGTTTTTGTTTAATATCACAAAGAGCTATGAAAAATTTTTTGCATACGAAAATTAGTACCAAAAAATTATTGTCGCTGAAATTAGCTGATATTGAAAATATAACCCTGCTAAAATCCACATATACACTTTAATTATAAATTCTAGCCCAAAAATCCTAACCTAACTCTAAAAAAAACATACCAAAAAATTTTAAAAACTTCATATCAAAATAAGTCCAAATTTCTGCATCAATCTCAGCGACAATTATTTAAAGGGACATTTGCATATAAGGGCTCGAAAATGAAACCAATTACAGGGGCCAAAGTGAAAATAATTACATATAAGAGACCCAAATTTAGAAAAATATTACAATTAAGGGCCAAAATAACTTCACGTTGACGATAATGATTCTTTGAACGTTATCACTGTATATATGTGTTACCTTATTCATTTTATACTATACCCTCTTTCGCTTAATGAAACTTCCTTTTAACCAAGATACAGTTAAGCACGAAATTTATCAATCTATTAATATTTATTCGGTTCTAAACTGAAAGTCTATCCCATACCAAGATTAGTTATGAAACATGAATCACATTTCATAAAGTTTACTACGCGTTAATCGAAGATATTTAGAATCAAAAAATTATTGTATTCGTAGAGAAAGTTAAATTACTTTTAGAAGTTGGTAAAAATCGATCTAATTTTTTACATGCAAGATGCTAAGTGAATAAATACAATAGTGATTAAAAAGTAATACATTTTAACTATTGAAAGAAAATTACATCTATATAATTTAAATGTTAAAAACTTGCAATCTAATTAGTTATGATAAATTTAAAGCCTTGATTGTAACACTTTTCAAAAAATTTGGGCCTTATATATTATTATTTTCATTTTGGACCCCTATTTATAATTATTTATAATTATTTTCATTTCGCTTATATGTAAATTTCCCTTATTTAAATAATGTTTTCAACGATAAACTGATTTTTTCCAACATAAGTACAACATAAAAATAATATTAACGGTTTTGTGAATATAATGACGATATCAGAATTGATTGAACTTAGTGTTTTATTTTTATATAAACGTAAAATATAATCTCGATATTGAGGAAGGTTTTTTAACGAATTAAAAATAAATCCAAGTTATTTTTTAATCGGTGAAAATTGAAGAATGACGTGTCGACAAAGTCTATAACTGACACAAACATAACCTAGTCATAATCTAGACACAGCCATGTGTTTAAATTATTAGTAATTTCGGTAACATTTTGGCATTCTTTATTTTTTTTTAATATGAAACCCCACAAAATAACTATATATATACTATTTATCTCGATATGAAGAATGTTAATTTTGGCACTAATTCCGATAATCTCAAACTATCTAAGATGCATATTAGCTATACATTCACTTTTATATAAAGCGTACGTACAATACTTTCTATTAATGATAAATCAATAACTTTGAATAGTAAACTTTTTGTGATTAAAATTGTTTTGCGAAATATCAAGCTTTTGAAGTATTTATAAACTGTAGTTATGCAATTGCAACTGTTAATAAAATTAAAAAAAAAAAAAACGGTTTTTTTACATACGGACTCATAATTATGATATCGATTATTTAAAAAGATAAAAGCAGTACCAATCAGTAGTAGTACCCACCCACTACGCGGTGGGATTCATTCCATTTTGCTAACACTCATTTAACCAATCACGCGGGTGAATTTACTATTAATATGTATCTGCAACTAATAAAATGCTAACCTTAAAACCCTATGTGATGTCGGTTAAATGGATTGTAGGTAAAATGGGTATCAAGAAATAAGATACACCCTTCGCAGTGAGTGTTTCGCTAAGAGTCCCTTTTCCGGCTTTAGAAAGGTACCTTACGTACCTACCTACTTGAATGCTACCAAGATCTGAAGCTAAGATTAGCTAATGCTAAAAATTAAACTTGTCTTAATATGAAATTCTTGAAATGCACTTTGTTAATTTTCTTTTTTAGAGATGTGTTATTTAGGGTTAAGAGTTATTAATTAAAGAGTATATGCGAATGTTAGTATGCTTAGCAGATTTAAATATAGATCCTAAATCTTTATTGCTATTTTTAAATGATTTGGCAGGTTTTATTTAATGACAAGATGAGCATTAATGCCTTAAAAAAAGATTAAAATAATAATTTTTATAGATACTAGACATAAAAAAAAACATAATTAAAAAATTTCGTTATATATGTTGTAAATTAAGTTGATTTAGAATTTCTTAATAAGACTACGATTTTAGAGTAGAATTTATTTTTGCATAGACCTACGTCCTAAAAATCCTGAGAAATTCCAAATATACTTAAATTCCGTTCCCACTTACAACATATATAACTGATAAAATTTTCGTCATATATGAAGACTAATCATATTAAATCACATATCAGTAAATAATTTAAGCTATGTACAGTACATAGTTACGTAAATGATCTTGGTGATTCGTCAAAGCATATCAAAGTGCAATTGAAAAATTTCATTATAACATTTAAGATTTTTAAATCATTTATTTAGCTTTTACAATCAAAAAAGCGAATAAATTTGGAGTTTTAATTTATATAATTAAAAAAAAAACATTTATCACAAAATATAGTATGGTTTTAACTGATATTCAAAAGTATTCAAGTAGGTTTTTTTATTATTGTTGTACAATATGAATATATAAAAGAGTGTTTAAAGGATTACAAGGTGTAAGGAAAAAATTAAAATAATGGTAACTTCAAAAAAAGATAAAAAATTAGCATCAGTCACAATGAAACTTTCTGAAAATAATGAAATTATTGATGGTACTCCCGTAGATGCAAGAGAAATTTCAAATCCTGCGATAATTATATTAGGAAATACGGGTAAATACATAAATTTTCCAATGATTATAATGTCAGCTGAATATGAACTGAAATAAAAGATACACTTTTATTGTATATAGGTTCTGGAAAAAGTACCCTGAGTAATTGGCTTTTCGGGTTTCAAGGAGATGATCCAAACGCGACATTTAAAACAGGGTGGTCTATGGTAATTAATTAAATATATATATATATATTTTGTAACTAATCATATACTTAGTTCTCTTTTGCGTAATATTCATAAAATGTTATCATGAATTAGGCACCAATTACTAAAGAATGTCAAGCAGGGTTAATTCGGATTAATGGAAAAAACTATAATCTCATCGAGATTCCAGCAGTATTTAATAATATGAGTATGAGCGATATTAGGAACGATATTGTACTAAGAAAGATTTCCGAAATCATTCTAGTTTGTTCATATGGAACTCAAGCAATTCTTTTCGTTGTTGGTATGACTCTTTACAACTCTTTACAATAAATAAATAAGTATATAGATTTGTTTTTTTTGTTTTGAACGAGAATTATATCATAAATT